ATGCAATCATAACAAAATGTGGAACGTTTTAATCATCCCAGATTAAACCCCCATGCCCCTGCTTTCCTCCCTCCCTCCCTCCCATTAGGCAACCATCAATCCACTTTCTATTTACATAAATTGTCTATTCTGGACATGTCACATAAAGGGAATGATACAATATGTGGTTTTTTATGACTGTCCTTTTTATTTAATGTTATCTTTTCCAGATTCATCCATATTATAGAATGTGTCCAACCATAATTCATTACATTTTATAGGTTATAAATAGACATGCCTATTTGTAATGATGGATGCATAATATTATGACCCTTTTAGAACATGGAGTAATAATATTGCATTCGATGGCTATGCCACATTTTATTTACATTCCAACTGATGGAAATTTAGGCCATTTCTGTCTCTTTGCTATTACAAATAATACTGCTCTAAATAGTCACGTGTAGTTTTTCTTTGTGTGTGAACATATATTTTCATTTCTCTTGGATAAAAAGTACACCTAAGAGTAGAACTGCTGGGTTATATGGTAACTCTGTTGAACTTTTGGAAGAACTGCCACACTGTTTTCCGTAGCCAGCTGTACCATTTTACATTTCCAGTAGCCATGTGTCAGGGTTCTACTTCCTCCACATTCTTGTCATTCTTGTCTCCAACACTTGTCATTTTCTATTTTTTAAAAAATTTTTAAACATTTTCCTTAACTACCTGACCATGACACTAACCAGAACTTAGGTGAGATACCTAAATTAGGTATCTCATATAGATTCTCTACTATAATAATAAACTCAGATAAAGAACTTATGTAATTAAAATATTACTAACTTCCCTTAATAACCAAAGGATAATTAAATTAGGTGCTTACAAAAGTAAATGATGAATTTATCATAAATTATGTGCATCAATTTTTATTTTTAGCATATATTATTTGTCAGCTTTTCAACTTCCCTGATTTATTATTTATTCCTTTCAAAGTATAAATGCTCTCTCCAGTTTTAGCACAGGAAGCTTTATGTAGTTCAACAGTTTTAAGATTATCCTGCTTTTACATTTAGGTAATAAACTTCAGGAGACAAGAATCTTGATTCTGTTTATTAACTCTGTCCCAGGGTGCTCTGCCAAGCCAGACAGTAGAGAGCAGAGCAGAAGCTCAAGGATATCTTCTAATTTCCACCTAATCTTGGCATAATATTTTGCAAAGCACATATCCAATACATACATATGAAACACAAGAATGACTAAATGCCATGAGAGTATGCATGTGGACAAGAGTGTATGGGAAGGAACTGAGAGGAAGAAGGTGAAGGGGGTGAGAAGCCCACAGGAAGAGGGAAAGGAGAAGAGTAAGCCTCTTTTCCCTTCCTCTCCTTCTTTAACCATCAAACTATCACCTCTAAAAAGACAGTTCTCTAAAGCTCTGATCTGTGACTTAGGCTCATAAATAGTTGCCAATGTATTTGAGGACTGTGGTTCAACCCTTGGCTTTTACAAGGCTATTATTGTTATATATACACAAGTACATGTGGTCAAAATGCATAAATGTACATTTGATTTTAAATGTGCATAAATATATTTTACAGTTATTCACATAATTGCAGAGTAAAAGCTCAATAGATGTTGAGTGAATAAATAAAACTGGACTTCCAGAATAAGCAGAATCATCATCTCTAAAGGGCTAAAATTGCTAAGGTAATAAATTTTACTTTATCAAATCACTCAAAGGACAGGCTCCAAGGACCTGAGTCATGCAATTAAAATCAGAGAATAATGGGTAAATATATATAGGTGCAATGTAGGTATAAATATATGATACTGATTGAGTAATTAATTATGGTAATTTCTACTTTCTTATAGAAATGGGCAGATCTGTTTGAGAAGCACATTTATAGTTCATAATGTATTGTGGTGGTCATTCAATTAAAGTTTTCACATTATCTTAAGGTAATTTTAATTATTTTCTCTCTTCTAAAGAGAGTTTGACTGAAATTCTTATCTATGTCGACAGTTTGGGTCTCCACTTCAAATTTTTCTCAGTTTTTCCTTATTTTTGATTCATTAATGGTTAACAGAAATACAAAAGATTATAATCATCACCTACTATTAATCAGTTACAAAGTTTATAATTTATGGATATTTAAGGAAACATTTTTACCACAGAATGAAATATTGTATCAGGAAAGTCATTCTTTCATAGATTTTTGACATCCTAAATGTTCTTAAGCTTTATCTCTTGATATTACATATACCTTGCTTTGTTATTCACTAATTTCAAAGGATTAAAAAAAGTAGGTTAGTCACTTGAAATTTAGCCACTCTAGGAAAAGCAAACAAAGAAATGTCTGTTTGGCTTTTCCAACACCAGATATTCTCTAAAGATAAAATGCTTGTTAACAGGGTATAAGTATATGGAAAGAATGAGTGATGAAGACTGACTAGTTCTATTGTCCCTCTTGAGATTGGAACATAAAGATTACACTATTACCTCTAACCAAGACAAAATACGGTTACAAAGAAGAAATGGAAAGAAGACTGGGGAAATACGTTTAGGCCAGAGGATGACCATGCAGATCATTTCTGACAGGAATAACTGTGGGCAGAATACACTGGATATCAGAAAGGATATGATTCTAGTACAAGGAAAACTATTAGTAGTTGATAAATTAATTAAAGAAAGAACAAAATGATTATTGTTCAGTTCCTAAAAGGCAAGCTTAGATGGGCAGATAATTTATTGAAATCATATAAAAAATTAGAAATGAAGTTTTTAAAAGAGTAGGTGGTGGGGATGGTGGGCGGGGTTTGACAATGCAGCTTAACTCTAGGCTTCCTGACTACAGACAGAAAATTAGCTACAGGAATGCTCTCAACAGCATTACTGCATTCTTTCCACCTCATTGAATGGATTTGATTATATTCCTATTTATTCTTATTTATATTCCTATTGTCTTATCTATGACAGAGCCTTTCCTACTCATAAATGATTCTCTTCCTTAAGGGCCTGAAGTGGCCTTGTGAAGATAGGAATCAAGTGTTGAAGGGCTTAGTGACTAACATTCTTTTAAAGTAATTAGCTCCATCTCTGAGCTGTTTAGCATAGTTTGAGGGAAGAAGGTGAATGGGTAAGGGTAAGATCTCAGAAGAGATAAAGGTATATAGAAAGATGGGTCCTTCAACCCATCCTAACACCAAATTACTCCAAGTATATCAACTGAATATTAAGTTTAACAAGCTCTCACACTCAGGGATCCCAAAACACCTGAGGAATCATTTCCATCAATTGCTCATAGAGAAGTTTTAATTGCTTTAGACTTATCTATAACTAGTTGAGATTTTTTTACAAAACAGTTTTATTTAGGTATCACAGGATTTTTACAAAGCAAACAAATAAAGATAGACTGAAGGCAGACCATGTACTGTGCTGTTCAGCAGAGGCTACAGCTCTCTACCTGAACTCTCCCCAGATTTCTCCCATTCTGAGGGAAGATGAAAGAAAAAAGAATGAGGGGGGAAACATTAAAGCTACATTCCCCGCATTCCAATTAATGCCTACTGATAAGAAAACAGGACATTATCCCTACAAGACCCTTCTCCTTTACCATCTTATGAGAACTTCACATTCTGGAATGCAGTAAATTTATGTGTGAATATAAATCACATATGTGTGCATGTGCACACATACATACAAACAAATATGAATTAGCTACAGACATGCAAGGCCATGAGCAAAAATGTTGAAATAAATTTGTAATAGTAATTTTCAGAAAAGTCTTTTGTTAGACCAAATTGTTTTTGTCTAAGTTTTGCTAAAAAGTCTTTTTTTTTTTTATTAGAGAAACAGAATTTTCAGATTTATAACTGTCCATAATTTTAACTAACTTATATCGATTGACTCAATATTAGAGAGTCATGGAATCTACAGAATAGTGTATATGTCATGCACAAACATATTATTGAGAAAACATAATTTTGGAAATATCAAACTCTGCCATGGACTATTGTTTCATGGAAAGAACAATAACAGATGTTACACATACACATAGCATAGAGCATGCACACGCACACACATACAAATAATTCAGTGGTTAATCAGGAATAGCTACATTATTTTCAGGACCCCATGCAAAATAAAAGAGTGAATCCCCTTTTTAAAAAGTTATCAAAAATTTCAAGATGGCAACAGCAGAACAGTAAATCAAGAATGAGTCTCTTCTGAGGGGTCCTATATGACTACACAGGTTACATACACCTGAAAACAGTCTTGAGGTGGTACTCGTCTATAATTCCGGTAGCTCAGGAGGCTGAGGCAGGAGGATTGAGAGTTCAAAGCCAGCCTCAGCAACTTAGCAAGACCCTAAACAACTTAGCGAGACCCTGTCTCAAAATAAAAAGTAAAAACATCTGGGGATGTGGCTCAGTCATTATGAGCCCCTGGGTACCAATCGGGGGAAAAACCTACCCTGATTAAACAGCTTACAAAATAAAATAGTGTTGAACAGATTTCTGTGTAGCAGAACTTCTCAGAGACTTTACATGCTAATGTACATTGTGAACCCTCAAGAGGTTCTTGTACCATACAGCATTCCTCAAATATATTTGAGCATAGGTCTTTTGAATTATGATTTTATAAGGATCATCTTGTAAGGCCAATATTCTGTAGAATGAACATTGTACATTGAAGCTCAGGCTGTGCTGAGAGTTTGTATCTACTTTAACATCAACTTGTTAGTCACAAGTCACTGACCATATTTTCCCCATTTTTGTGCCWTTTTCCTTATCTTTTAGAAAGATAACTGTAAATGCAAATGGCATGGCTTCACCAAGTTTACTGTCCTTAACTATATGGTCTTTTACTATATGCATATTTAACTCAGTGGACTAAATATCCCAAATAATTTCTGGACTAGTATACTAGAGATGGTCTGATGATTGAGATTATATCCCAAACCAACTTATTTTCTTCTCCTTTATCTTGTCAATTCAGAGGAAATAATATCCTTACTTACCATTACCCAGTTCCCAAGAAATGTTGTACTTTTTGCTGGCGCTGTACTTCAACAGACTCAGGGCACTAGAACTGTTCCAGGAGTTATTGGGATTACGACGCAGTGCATTTAGAGCAAATATCAGGTGGAGTCCAGAGCAATCAGCAAAGTTATAAAGTTTGTCTAGAGACCTGGCTGGGAAGAAGCAGAGAAAGGCTTATAACTTTCAAATCAATATCCAACAAAAGGAAAATATTAGCTGCTAAAAAAAGGCCTTTCTATGAGCTTCCTGCTAATAAGAAATTGCACAGACAGGCTTCTAAAAGGGACAATTTCCTTTTGGTGTGAGATGCAGTTTAAGGTGATTTTAGAAAGAAGCACAAAAGGGATTGGAGGTGTAGCTCAGTGGTAAAGTGCTTGCCTACCATGTGTGAGGCTCTGGGTTCCATATCCAGCACAAGCAAAAATAAATCAACAAAAAAAAAATAAAAAGTAAAAATAAAAACAATCAAAAAGCCCCAGAGAATTCCAGAAGCTGCAAGTTGGCAATCATGTCTAACCTACTCTTATTGTCATCTTATTTTGTTAACAAACAATTGAATTGCTGTGTTTAAAATGGAACAATTCCAGTGTAGCTGGATTTTTAACTTTTTCAGGAAAAATAAGAAGATCTACCACTGTTGCATATCCTGCATGGCATGGCAGGAATAGTGTCTGATGAGTCTTAGGAAAAAACTAAGCCTATCAGGACTTTCAAAAAATGTCAGTCAAGTCCATGTTTCTAATATTTTTGAGTATGGAAATACCATAACCATTACTAGGATATGCTCATTTCAAGCTGATCCCAAATAACATCAACTCTATAACCCCACGTGTCTCATAACCATCTCATTTCATTTTTGTTGCCATCATTCTTGTCTGGTCCTTGTTTCCAATTGAATGAATTACAACTGTGTCTGTATTTTCCTGTATCCTTCTAGATTCTTCCCATCTTGCCAATAAATCTTCTCTCAATCACCCTTATCAGTTTCACTCACCCCTCGAAACCTTAGCATATTCTCAAAACCGTTTTCTTCCTCAGTTCAAGATCTCTATGAATCACCATTATTTTTTTCCTACAATGTTAGGCATTTCTGTTTCTCTCAGGGTTCTTTGTTGATGTCAACCAGTTCAATGTATTATAGAATTCTATGACCTGTTGACTTTTGCTCTAAATATTTTCCTCACTTGGCTTGCCCTTATTCAGTTTTGCAGCATATCCAGGTTTTACTTGTTCTTTTAGGCAGTGTTTCCTAAGGTATGGGTAACATGACTTCGGGTGATATGTTATTGTTAAAAATATTTTAGGTTAATAATTATGTACAGGGGTTAACATTATCTTCATATTCATTATCCAAGCTCCTAGAACAGAGTTTGTCAAATGAGGTTCATGAAACACAAAAGTTCCACAAGAGGTCACCAGGGGTTTGCAAAAGATGATGCATAGAGATTAAGGCTGTTTTATAAGCAATTTTGTTATAGGTCTTTTAGTCTTTTAAAGTAGAACTATGGTCATTAGATTGAGTTCATTATTAGTGTTTGAAGTGAGATGCAGTAAGGCTGTGACTTTCACTTTCTTACATGTGCAAGAAGGCATTTTTTAAGAAGCATTAGGAATAAGCACTGAAATTGTCTCATTTCAGTTGAAAATAAAATCCATTCGAACTATCTCACATTCTACCCAGAATTGAGCAACTAGGCAAAACAACAAAAAGCATAGGTTTCAGATTAAAGAGACAAACTTATTTATTTTTAGTTCCAAAACAGCAAAAGCAAAATGCATTTATAGGCCTATTAAAATTATTATAAAACCAACACATGTGTATAATAATTTTATAATTATATACATGAAACTCAGTAAGAAAATGGCATTTTTAAAAGTCTTGTGTAAACTGTATCATAGGCTATAATTTAATTTAAATGCCACTAATAAATTTTTCATATTCAAAATAATGTTAATTAAAGAAAATTTATAAACTTTATTCAAATTAAACCTAAAAACCTACCTATCAAAAATTGTGACTCATATTGGTTTAAACAAATTACTTAATAAACACTACTTATATTTATTTGCCTTATCAGATTCTCAAATTCATGGAAAGGAACTAATTGGACTAATTTCAAGAGATAAAGTTAACAACTTTTTTTCTTTTCAAGAATTGTTGTACAAAAAGTAATTCTTTAAAATTTAAATAGGAAGAGGGAAAAAACCTATACCTGTACTTTAATATACTACATATACTACATATACCTCAATACTATTTGCACAATGGAAAGTTTTGATAAGACTTTTAGGCCTACTTGGGTAAGATACAAAAAAAATATAACTTTTTTTTTAAAAGAAAAACTTTTCTTTTTTAAAAAAAGAAAAAGTTTTCTTTTATCTGTACCAATGAGGTTGGGACCATTGGAGAGGAAGGTGGTGAAACCATACAAAAGAACAGGCTGAGAAACTGGCCAGACTAAACATATTCTCAGGAAAATATTACTCTCTCTATAAAAGAGAATTGGTAATTATTATTGGATTAATATACCTACAACTAAATACTCATATTAATATACCATGAGATTTAGATATGATCACTTTTAAATAGGAGTTCCCTAATACCTGATAACTATTATAGATCTCAAACATAATTTTCATATTAAAGATCAGGAGAAGTTCATTTTAAAGTCCATTAATATTTTTGCCACAGAACTTTTGATATTTTACTCAATGTTCAATTAAATCACATCTTGCTTATCCAAATTTTTCATAATTTCAATAATAGCTTATAATGTGTTAGCTGTGTTGAAACATTCTTATTTTTATAATTTTTAGTTTTAATTATAAACTAAAATTCTGGCAGATTTGTTTGATATGAATGACTGATATTAATTTTAGGGAGATTAATTTGCTTTATGTAGCTTTTTACTAGAACTAATTATCTCTATATAATGTGTTATAGTTTAGATATTAAGTGTCTTCCCAAAGCTCATGTGTGAGACAATACAAAAATGTTCAGAGGGGGGTTACAAGAGCTTTAACTTAATTGATGCAGGAATCCATTTTACTCTATTAGCTGGGTGGTAATTATGGTCAGATAGGGTATGGCTAGAGGAGGTGGATGATTGAGGGGTGCCTTTGGGTTTATTTTATCCTTTTTGAGCAGACAGAGCTCTCTACTTCTGGTTGGACAAGTCCTGAGCTGTTTTCCTCCACCACACCTTTCTGCCATGAATTTATGCCTCATCTTGGCCCCAGAGCAGTGGAGCTGGCAGTGTATGAACTGGACCTCTGAAACCACAAGCACCAAAAAAACTTTGCTTTCTCTAAAATTGCTCTTATCAGGGCTATTGGTCATAGGGGTAAAACCATTATGCTTATCATATGGAATTCATCCAAGGGATGTGAAGTTGGTTTAATGTATAGAAATCAATAAGTGTAATTAATCACATCAATAGATAATCAATAAGCCAACTCCAAGTCAGTAAGCCAATCTCAAAGACAAGAATCACATGATTATCTCAGATGCAGAAAAAGCATTTGACAAAATACACCATAAATTCATGTTAAAAACACTAGAAAAACTAGGGATTGTAGAAACATACCTCAACATTGTAAAAGCTATATATGTTCAACCCAAAGCCAACATCATTCTAAATGGTGAAAAATTGTATGCATTCCCTCTAAAAACTGGAATAAGACAGGAACGCCATCTTTTACCACTTCTATTCAACATAGTCCTTGAAACTCTAGCCAGATAAATTAGGGAAAGGAAAGAAATTAAAGGGATATGAATAGAAAAAGAAGAGCATAAATTATCTCTATTTGCCAATGACATGATTCTATATTTAGAAGACCCAAAAAACTCTATTGGAAAACTTCTAGAACTCATAAACACTTTTAGCAAATCAGCAGGATACAAAATTAACACCGAGATATCAATTGAATTCCTATATACCAATGATGAATCAACTGAAAGAGAAATTAGTAAAACTACCCCATTCACGATATCCTCAAAAAAAAAAAAAAACAAACTTGTGAATCAATCTAAAAAAAAGAGGTAAAAGCCCTCTACAATGAAAACTATGGAACATAAAAAAATATGAATAAGACCTTAGAAGATGGAAAAACTTCCCATGTTCTTAGATAGGCCGAATTATTGTAGAAATGGCCATACTACACAAAGTGCTATACAGATTTAGTACAATTCCTGTTAAAATTCCAATAACATTCTTCACAGAAATAGAAAAATCAGTCATGAAATTCATTTGGAAAAAACAGAGGCCCAGAATAGCCAAAGCAATCCCTCGCGTGAAAATGTGAAGCAGGAGGCATCGAAATACCAGACCTTAAGTTAAACTACAGAACTATAGTTACAGAACCATAGTTTAAAAAAAAGGCTTAGTATTGGCACAGAATAAAAGACATGAAGACCAATGGAACAGAATAGAAGATACAGAGACAAACCCACATAAATTCAGTTATTTATACTAGAAAAGGGCGTCATAAACATGCATAGGAGAAAAGATAGTCTCTTCAACAAATGGTGCTAAGGAAACTAGAAATCGGTTTGTAGTAGGATGAAGTTTAACCCCTACCTCTCACCTACATAAAACTCAACTCAAAGTGGATGGAGGATGTAAGCATTAGACCAGAGACCCTGTACCTACTAGAAGAAAATGTAGGCCCAACTCTCCATCATGTCAGTTTAGGAACCAAATCCCTCAACAAGACTCCTAGAGTGCAAGAAATAAAATCAAGAATCAATAAATGGGATGATATCAAACTAAAAAGCTTCTTCACAGCAAAGGAAACCCTCAATAACATGAAGAGAGAGCCTACCGAAAGGGAGAAAATCTTTGCCAGCTGCTCCTCAGATAGAGCAGTAATCTCCAGGATATGTAAAACACTCAAAATAGTTAACACCAAAAAAATCCACATAACCCAACCAATAAATGGTCAAAGGAACTGAACAGGCACTTCACAGAAAAAGAAATATGAATGGTGAACAAATATGTGCAAAAATGTCCCACATCTCTAGCAATTAGACAAATGCAAATTAAAATCACACTAAGATTCCATCTCACTCTGGTTAGAATGGCAATTATCAAGAATACAAGCAACAATAAATGTTGGTGAGAATGTCGGGGGAAAAGGTTCACTCATACCT